GATTCGAACGTTTTTAAAAAGTTATGTTCTGTCAAAAACAGGCTTTTTGAAACCGATCACAAAATAACGCTGTTTAGTGATTTTAATTTAGGATGATATTAGAATGTAGAAAAATAAACTTACAAAACATAAACTCGAGTACCTATCTATCATTTCATCGTTATTTCAAAGACGACGTTATTAATTTCCCTAACAATAAATGCTACCCGAATTGCACAAGAAAAATGTGTGTCATTTTTCGCATCTTTGCACTAATATTGGTGAAAATAAAAATAAATAATTCACTGTGTATATTTGAATTACAATAAAAGTACCTACGCTTTAAAAGCATCAGCTACCAAAGGAACAATGGGTGGATTTTCTGAAATAGTTCCACGGGCATTTCGTTTTCCCTCCATTTGCAAAATACCGGCAACGGTAACGCTGGAATATTCTGGACTAATATTTTTGCGTTCGAACTTCTGCATTTCCCTGACTTAGGTATAGGCGCGGTTCCACTAGAGGTATTTTTCTGCTAGCATGCAGGTTGCGAATATTGCAAATGACTGGCTGGAACGGCAGGTGAAAATAAAAAATAAATACTTTTTATTTTTCGCCCACTATATGGCTTTTAGGTAGCCAAGTAGAAATAAGCATAGCCAGTATTATTTTTAAAGGTACGGAATGATATTTTTGTTTTCTAACACACATTTACATTTTTCTCGATCTCGATAATCTTAATCGATATTTTATTTGGCAAAATAAATAATCTGAAGCTTTAAGCGACAATAAGAACTATGAGTATCCTAAATAATTAAATATGTAGGCGAAAAGAAGTTCCTGTCCTCTTCAACCTAAAAATATCTATGTTAGTTGTGATTATTATGTTAGTTGTGAATAAAACTGTGCTCGATTCCCATGCCAACTTAAGCAAACTGAAGTTTAGGTACTAAAACCGTATATTGCGGTTCCGTTTTTACAAAGTCCGCATTAACATAATAATTTGCGCGGTGCTTCGCCAGATAAATTGAGGCATTAAAAAGGACTGGCCGCCATTTTTTAAGTTTTTTTTCTGTCGCAACGGTATTTAGTTTTAAACGGACTGAAAAAACAGGTTTTAATTATACTTGAAAATGTTGTGGTTTTAGAAACCGAGAGAAAGAAAGTTATTAATTTAGGTATGTACCTAAATGCTTGGAACTTTTATTTTAATGTTGATGATTAAAGTAATAAGAACACACTTATGGCTATGCAATTATTTTAATAAAAATTTCTTGTTAAAGTAATCTCAGTTGAAGTAAGTTAGGTAACTTATTCAGACATCAGATACCTACAGTCCTACATAGGTATAGACTTATAAATGATTTTTGTATGGAGTTTGATAGATTTTTGACGTTTGTCAAAGTTAAAATAAGATGGTGAAACCCAATCTTAGTGATATTTTTTCGTGGATTATCAATGTCTATCATTGATAATGTTACATTTATTTTATGCAAAGCTATTAATCAAAGGAATTGTAGAGAACGCTCAGCCATATTAATAAGAGTGCTAAGAAAAGTTTTATTGAGTAGGTACCTATTTAATAATTTTAATTTTGCGGTACCTAGGTACTAGTTACTTTTACAATCTTACCTCAGTAAATAGAATAAAATTATCAAACCTCTTTTTAACAATCTTATAAATCGTTCTATTCACATCGACTGACTAAGACGAAGCGGCCATCGGTAATAAATTTTCAACAACAATTGGAGATAAAAAGCATTTCTGGGAATCGAACTGGTTTTCGAGCGCGAATCCGTCAATGTCTAGGTAGCTAGTCGGAGAGTCGGTTTTGGGAAATGCATAATTTATTTATTTAGAACAAGTACTCATTTAGGTATTTTAATACATGTTTTTTCCATAAATTTTAATCTACCACTTTGTCGACGTGATTACCTAATATACATACCTCCACAATATTACAGCTCTCTAGTGCCAATAGTTTTCAAGCAAAACCTCGGACGGACAGACAGACGGACAAGACGAAACTATAAGGGTTCCTTGTCAGGATTACAGAACCCTAAAAACGAATACTTACGTCAATGTCTGAGGTATGATATCGGCACGGGACGGGTGATTTTGATTAATATTACGACGTAACACACACTCTCCGAAGGGACCCCGATCACATCCCTAAGCACGCACTGGATTGGAACCCCCAAGGAAAACGCAAACGTGGTCGCCCCAAGCAAACTTGGCGGCGCACTGTAGCAGACGAGGCGAAGAAAATCGGCAAGACCTGGAGCGAGATCAAACGCGGAGCTCAAGACCGAACGCGATGGAGGACTGTTGTGGACGTCCTCTGCCCCATCTAGGGGACAAAGCATTAAGTAGTACAAATGAAATCTTGCTGTGACATTTGACGTAACTTGAAAAAAATTATAATAAAAAAATAACTATTTAAAAACAAGCTTTATTTCGAAAGCTTGTATCGCGCATGGAATTTATTCCTCTTTTTTTCTGTTTGCGCTACAAGCTTTCGAAATAAAGCTTGTTTTCAAAAAAGTTATTTTTTTATTATAATTTTATTATACACTTTTTAGTTGTATCTCAATTTCTGGACCCTGGTCATCCAATTTCTGGACCCTGGTCATCATTTAGCACCAAAGTGCTCGGGAAGTCGAATCCAACGAACCCAAACTCAATAAGTTTCCGCTGTTTCGTTTAGGAGTTCCTATGGCCACCTCCTGACTCCATCATCAGACCAGCTCAATGGTACCATAACATTGCATTGTCATCGTACTTACATAAGTATACCAAATTTCAGCTCAATCGGTTGAGGAGAAGTGGTCTTAAATTCAGTTGCAAGATTTGTCCCACACATACTAACAAGTGAAGTCAATCATCATCATCATCATTTCAGCCACAGGACGTCCACTGCTGAACATAGGCCTCCCCCAATGCTTTCCATGTTGATCGATTGGTAGCGGCCTGCGTCCAGCGCTTCCCTGCTACCTTTACGATGTCGTCGGTCCACCTTGTAGGTGGACGTCCCACGCTGCGTTTTCCGGTACGCGGCCTCCATTCCAGAACCTTTCTGCCCCATCGGCCGTCAGTTCTGCGTACTATGTGCCCTGCCCATTGCCACTTCAGCTTGCTAATACGTCGGGCTATGTCAGCTACTTTGGTTCGTTTACGGATCTCCTCATTTCTGATTCGATCTCGCAAAGAAACACCAAGCATAGCCCTCTCCATAGCACGCTGTGCAACTTTGAGCTTCTGTATAAGGCCTATAGTGAGAGGCCACGTTTCCGAGCCATAAGTTATCACTGGTAGCACACATTGGTTATACACTCTAGTCTTCAGGCATTGAGGTAATTTGGACGAAAAGATGTTGCGTAGTAGTGAAGTCAATATAAAGCTTGTAATACTAATAAAAACATCCCCCCATGCCGCTCCCATACCTCAGGCTTTGACTGATTTATGCCCTAGAACTATAGTAGCAAATCCCACGTTTACGTCTGACCGATCTAATAAGCACGGCCCGCGGGGAAATCAGAATTTACGGATCACCCGCTCGATTACCGTTTTACTGCACGCTATTCTAAGAACCTACTAATTTTAATATGGACATGAATTTTCTATTATACATGAATAGAACTTGAATTGGAACCTGGAAGAACCAGAATGCGCGCAGCGCAGGACCGGTCGTCGAACTTGAATGGAATTTGTAGTTATGTCTAATGTAAATCTAAGTAATGACGGTTTCTCAGCCATCGCAATTTTCTGTAAAAAAGTCCTTGCATTAAATAGTAAATTAAATAATATGTAATAACATAAAACAGTGCATGTAAATTAAAACTTTTCGGAACGTGATTTTAATAACGAGGTGCTGAGTTCAATATTAATTTGTTTCATTTCGTCGGCCGTTTATAAGTGACGCCCTTTGACTGACGTATTCCATCTTTTTTGCCATTCATTAAGTAATTCCTCTTCAACGACTTCTCGGGAATCAAATAATCGGCTTATTTTAGAACGATCGCGGCTATTTAAGAAATCGGAGGTTAGGTATATTTTCCCTTGATGTGAAGTACATAGCCGCACGCTTCTGTACCTCTAAGTCGACCGGCAGTACACCAGCCAGGACTGGCAGAGCTTCCGTCCTAAACCTGGTCGAGTACTTGCCAAAAAAGGAGATCGTCGATAACTGGGTGTCGGTAAGTGGCAGCTGTCGATGACTGGGTGTTGACTACTGGAGATTCGGTGTCGATGATTGGAGATTTATATGCTTTTTCATTTTTTGGGATTTTTTTCTAGTCCGTGTATAGTTAATAAAAATAATACATCCTATTCTTATCTCAAGAATATACCTTATCATGCTCAATCGTTACTTTTGGTTTAAAGATGACTAAATGACCTTTAATCTTAATAAGAAGCCCAATATCTCCTTAAAGTGTCGATCATTGGTGCCACTACGAATAGTGAGTGGGTGAATCACTGAGTGACTTTTGATATTCTTATCTACAACTGCGTCTTACGCGATGATAAAAGTAACAAGATGCAATTTAACGATTGTACATATTAGTTCAGAATCAGACTATCAACTTTCTCTTTCTGTGTCAATAGCTAAACAAAATCAGTTTAAAGGTCAACACTCAACGAGTTTCGTCACGTTTGCGTTGGCTGGTCCACTTTCCTTTTATTCAATTATAATGATATTGATAGAGTTAGATCAAAAGCCTAGTGCAGAGCAGACTCAAATTACAATATCAATCGGACGATTCTCCTGTTATGCCTTAGTGTTACAGAATCTCTACAAGGTGTACCTATATCACTAAAAAATCAGCTGATCTGTTTTAGTCTGACCCAAATACTGATAATTTTAGGTCTTCAACAGTATTTCTACCTGTAACCTGTATCAAACTACTTCCCGCGACCTTCACCCAGATCTTCGGTCCACCTAGTGGAGAGGCCTGCCTACACTACGTCTTCTGCTTCTGTCCCTGAAGTGCCTGGATGAGGGCAGCGTAGGATCGGTCGATATGGGAATCTTTGGGAAGGTCTTTGGAGGCATTTGGCTAAAACGAACAGTATTTCTATAGCAGCTATAGTTCATTAGTATTTTATGGCCTTCATGTTCGTCCAAGCTTTCATGGCACATACTCGTAAAGTGTGAGTGAAGATTTTGTAGAAAAATCTATTTTTATGTGGTGATTGCGTGAGGAGTACACCTGTATCTGAGCTTGCTATCCTTGCAGACCTGCAGCTAAAGCCGTACCGCACCGAGGAGTACGTGCACAAGCTGTACTACGAGACCTCTCGCTTCACGGCCTTCGGCCACCAGTGGGTGGTCAAGGCCTTCGTCAACAAGAACCAGCGCGACCCCACGCAGAGCTCCGAGCGAGAGATCACTTACCAGGTCACTACTATTCTGTTAATGACAATTTTATCCTTCTTTCAGTATTTTCTTTCTAAAGTACGGCCAACGAGAAGCGATACCTACCAAATGTAAACAAGCCCAATGTCATTTGTGAACCCGTCTGACTTTGACATATTTTGGCGGGAGAACGAGACATTACGACAAATACACAAGATGGGAAGAGATAGAATATATTGTCAACTCAACAGTCGTATTGACCTTTTGTATCGCTGCTAGTTGGCCGTACTTTACAAAGACAGATCGTCTTCTTCTTACTCTTTTCTTGAATTTACTTTTAAAGCTGAATTTAAAGGCAATACATAGTTACCAAGTAAAGCGACAATAGCACACCGATTTTAGCATCTCTGTCGATCGCTGGACTATTGTGGCAATCCTAACCATAAAGTTAATATACTCGTATAACATAATGATTCTAATCTAATACATTCTTTTGCATACCAAAAATTACTATTCATTTTTTGTCATTACGAAATCTAACGAATAGTTAATACTTACGTAATTTACCGAAAAAGCAGTTGCAGTTGTGTTTATGTTAGTGTTGTGACAGTGCGGGTCATTGGTCACGCCGTCTGCTGGCACTGGCATTGTAGATAATGCAATTAATAGTTTGCCTACACTTTGCCTTACCTAACAGTTTCTAATTTTGTGTGGTGTGCAATAAAGAGTTTTGTCTGTCTACGTTTCGATTCATCAATAACGTTGGTTACGTGTTCTGCCTGTATTCAATTTTACATGGAAGTTTCTCAAGGCATCTTTTCTACATTGTATTGCATACATGTAACCATTATTTCTCTCTTACTAAACGGCACTTATCCTACCTTTCTTCCCACCACTGCAACTCTTGTACAGCAAGGATCTACAGTGCGAGCTCCAATGAAACGAAACCTAACTAGTAAAAGATCCTGCGTCCAAGAAGTGAGTAGTCCTGGGGATAGATACCAGGATTCACTCTTCAAGCGATAAAGACTCACAAAGTGGACAGACGACACTGCATGCAGGTCGTTACCAACCGGGCGATATGGAAATCATTGGGGGAGGTCTATGTTCAGCAGTGGATGTCCTGGTTATGATGATGAAACGATAAAGGCCGCTCAATCCACCTATTCCCACCTCTCGTTCCCACCACTGCCACTACTGTGTAGCCAGGATATACAGCTTGACCGCCACAAAAACCCAACCAATGAAGGTCAAGTTTGTCCCGGGGGAAAGTTAAACTGTCATCGGACCCGCAACGAAATTAATCAGAAGAAGAGAGTTCGAAATTAAGGTTCGACTTCCCTTGCTCAATCCACCTCGTCATTTGTGGCTTGCAGATAATCCTAAAGAGCAAGCCTAGATAGGATTCAATACTACAGTCGGTAGAGATAACTAGAGCCTCGGTAACCCATAACGTCGTCATTTGAATCTTGCAGATAATCCTAAAGAGCAAGCCTAGATAGGTTTCACTCCTACAGTCGATAGAGATGACCAGAACCTTTGACAATTTGCAATCGTTTGTCATTTTGCGCTTTTGATATGCTACTAAACGCCTCGGTAACCCACGTCGTTTGTGGCTTGCAGATAATCCTGAAGAGCAAGCCGAGCAGCCCGCTGCCGCTGCAGTGGCTGTGGCTGCGCGGCCCGTACGGCGAGGCGGCCTGCACGCCGCGCGCGCTGGCGCACGCCTTCAGCGACGACGCGCCCGACGCGCCGCCGCTGCCGCTGCCGCTCGCCGACCCCGCCGACGCCAACCGTCTGCTGCTCAACAAGGCCATACAGTTCCGGTGAGATCCGCGCTCATTGCACACCTATTGTTCAATATTTATTTTTACAGTATCGCCTTACCAATTTATATTGTTCCTCAACATTGACTGATGAGCGCTGAAACTGGCGCCATTATAGCGTAAAATCCTGTCACCCGCCCAGGGCCCCGATTACGCTAAAAATGTTCATCTTCAACGTGTCCGGACGACGAACGAACATCAGCTGTTTTGACAAATCCGTATCGCGGTGTCGTTTTGACAGCTAATTGAAACGAAGCATAGACGTAATCGTAAAGCTAAATATCTCATGTGACAATGAAAATACTAGGAAGATACGTCCATTACCGTGATACCAAATTTGCACCTCAGCTGGAATGAAAAACGGAGCGCAACTGGAGAAGAAGCGCGTATGTATTGGAGACGTTAAAAGTTAGCGTAATCGGGGCACAGTGCAGTTAACTATTATTAAAAACGGTTGTGACTTCAAAGTCAAACGCGAATTTCTTTAGATTTTTATAGCAAAGATAGGTAAAAAAATACAGATAGAAATATTTGAGACATGTAAAAGTGTCTTATAAAGAGCTTGATATATTTTCTATAGACCTATGATGTCACTAATTGAATAACCTATGGTTTTCAAAGCACTGCTGCCAGTTTATTTATTGTTTTTATTTAAAAATAAAACGTTTAAATGAATTATGTTTGTTTGCAGCCTCATAATGTTCCTGGCGACGAAGTGAGGCGGCCGCGCGCGCCCGTCCCCCGCACTCCCCTCCCCCTCCCTGTCCGCAGGGAACCCCGAAATCATGATTTGAAATTAGAATGTAGGTCCTATTTTATTTTTATTTTGACTTGACCAATGATTTTCGACAAAAGCATGCGTATTTTTTATTCTAAAACAATACTTGAGATGCACGTCTGCGAGTTGAGTTTTCTCTCTTAACACTCCAAAATTATTAATTTTCTCAGTTTACTTAGGTTATCTACGCAAGTAAATAGTAATCATCAAATGACATGATTTATAGTGATTTTCGTAATGACAATTGCTGCTATTTTTACCACAACAGTAGTGGCGTTACGCCTCCACTACTGTCTTCTGACAGTAGTGGAGTGGCCTAGGCTAGGTTTCATTCATGTCCAAATTATATTATTATTCAATTCATACATGTCCTTTAATGAATCCAAATTATTTTCAAAAATATTACGTGACTTATTCATGATTGAATCGTAATCATCATTTTACAAATACACATTCCTTCACGACTCAAAATAACTAAGATTACGAATATTCACTAACCGTATTTATTTACAAATATAGGTTTTTTAAGATATTATATTTTAATTGCGATTATGTTGTTTATTTTAATGTTATTATAACAGAATTAAATAACGCACTTGAAGAGATATTTTTCATTTTAGCATAATTATTATATAGTTTTAATATATTTGTGGAGATATAGTCATTTCCCTAGCAGATCGGTAGCCACAATATATCTATGGTCATAAACACACATCTTATTCAATCATAGACAATTATTATGAATGCTGTGGTTATACATACATAAATACTGATATTATAAACATTTTTATTTGTCGTCGAGCTTATATTTGTGGGTTACGTGTTATCAATATATCATTTTATTAATAAATAAGCGAATTCCAAAAATACGTTGGATTTTATGAGTACAAAGTATAAATCTGAATTTTTATCTTAAATTAGTATGTAATTCGGAAGAGGCTGGGCTTATGTGTAACTAACAATTCGCTCTCTAGCAAAGGGGAGAGACAAGCAAAATTAACTTTAAATCCTTTGGTTTAAAATTAATAACAGCATACTCGTATTTCAATCCTTTGGAAAGATTATCATAATATTACTCTGCTAAGTTTCTCACTGACCCTCGAAGATTTAACATAAGCTTTATGGTGACTTTTTGTCAATTGTGTGTTCGTTAGTCTGTATTTGTGTGCCTGATTATCATTATTCTATCGTACATGCTGTGCACATGTCCATAATTATTAATATTATATTTTAGTTAAATATTTTTTTCTACACTTTGTTAGCTTTTATTTTGGGATTAGAAAATAAAGAGATAAGTCTACATTACAAAATTGTATTATTTAATGGACCCTGAATCCTACAGAAATAAATCCAACTGTAAAAATTCGGTTTATATGATTATTTTGAAAGTGCTAGTGTTTATTTAATATTGTTCGAGTCATCTTAAGCACCAGTTATTTATCGGGTTTTACACAGAAGGTATTGTACATCTAGTCACAGAAGTGAATAAACGCCTACCTAGGGATGGGTAAACAATTTTGTCAAAATGAAAAACAATAATATTGATAATTAATTTTAAACTTTCGCGTTGCATAATTGAGTTAATTAATAAAATTCAACAATATTGATTACTAGTATATTGTAAAATCCTAATAGGGCTTGTATCTGTTGACGTGCAGCCTGTCTAGCGCGCCACTGAGCCGCTTGGGCGCCGCCTGCCCCGCCGTGCCGGCCCAAACGCTCACGCGCCCGCTCTCACCCGCCGTCACCAGGATGTCTCTCTGGAAGGACCACATTAGACTCATCATACCATTTCCCATCCATTTAACACTTCATTCGATACTCAGGGTGACTGGAGGCGATGTGGATATTCAGTGGCGGATTAAGAGTATCCGAGGCCTTAAGCACAGAGCCTGTGTAGGCCCTCTATTGCTTAAATGGAAATGGAAGGAATGGAATGGAAGGTATAAAGTATAAAATGAAAGTTCATCAAAATAGAAAGTGTAGTAGGTGAAATGTAAAACTTTACACATTATTTTCCTTGCCTTAATCAGAGCAAACTCCGAGATTACATCGTCGAAATTTATCCNTCATTTTTATATATATAGATTAAGGCAAAGCGAATAAATATTAATTGGATCTAAAATTAATAAATGAAGAAATAATTAAAACAGTTCGGCTGTCAATCATTTTCAGTATTAATATAATTAATACTTAACTCCATCGCTGAAAATTTCAATACCTTCCTTATTCAGCTTATACGAGTAGCTTTCTAGTTATGATTTTAATACTTACTTAAGCTTTAAAACTATAATTATTCTCCATCTTAATCCAGTGAATCGAGCACATTCTAAGACGATGGCCATCAAACTAAGTAGATAACGCGATTAATTCATCCGACAACCCCGCCCCGCAGCTCTGCCCGCATTTATCTTCATTAGCAAGTGGTCCGATGCGTGGGTCGGATGGAAAAACCCTGATGAAATAGGAACTAAAAAATAATAATTTAATTTGACAGACATGTAGGAACTGTAATTGAATTTTAAAATTGACGCAGCGACTTTTGTGTGAAGAATGAGTTTGACGTTTTGAAAAGTTTTCCCGCGCATTTCACACAAAAATTGGCGCGAAGAATTTTTGCAGAGTAAACTTGCAGTATTACCATCTAATAAATCATGATGTTTATAAAACTGCCTTGTGAGATAGAGATAGGTATACATGCAGTAAGTAGGTTTAATCTGTTTTATTATTATTTAAGTTTATCTATTTTCCCATGCGAAAGAAAACTGCATGCTAATTAATTTGTTTTTTATCTACTTATCGGTGGCCAGTGTCATATTAAAAACTCTTTTAATCACTTCTGCCACTCTCAAAAAACAAAATGCTGTTCGAAATTTAAATATCCAATAAGTACAGATTTCCGAATGACCACTGTCCCTATTTTTGTGGCGGGTTCTTCAATCATTCTTCCCCAAAGATTGATGATGCGCGGTGGAGCGACACACAAATCAGATCGGGCCGCGGACCGAAACATTCAGCAATTTATTTCCAATTTACATTAATTTTCCAATAAAAATATCGGAGAGATTGTTTTGACGTGGACCGTATTGTTACTTGTTTGTTTTTGTTATTCTCAAATAACAAATACCGGAATGTTTATACGATATTCAAAGTAAGGTTTATTATTTTGATTATTTTTCCTGTCGTAGCTATGTAACGTATTAATGTAAACTGTACTTGAGTTTATCCATTTAAATTTTTTTGCCAATAATTTATAATTAATCCTTTGCAAACACAAACAAATATGACCTACACAATCACATTACATTTACATGCAATAAAAAGTGCCATGAATTTATGTATCTGAATTTTATAGCATTAAAACTCATTATCAAACTAAAGCGCTATAATATTAATGCCAGTTTCACAACAAAATAAAACTATAAACCTTATTTCACACGCGCCGAAACCGCGGGAAACGGCCAGCGCTAAAAGGACTGCCAACTACGGCATATAAAAAATATAAAACAATCGACGAAAAAGTTTCCACGCGGAAAATTTAAACGATTCCGTTGTATTTTCAGTGAATGATAAAAACTTGGGCCTTTAGACCGGCCTCGTAATGATTGATCGGATATTCCGTATCTCTTGCTTCTAACGAAATGTTTGTTTTCACTTTTTTCGGTCGGTAACTTTTTATGGGTTTGCCAATGTAGGCAGAAATGTAAAATATTTGTTACACCTTCAAAAAACCTTCGGAAAAGTTATTTAATTTAGGTTTGATTCATCTTAAAATGAATTTTTTACACAAGTAAACGAATTTCAAGAACGAATCGAACCAATTAGTAAATTAACCGAACATAGCTATTTTTATAGATTCATGAATTTCAGGGTACCTACGTAACCAAGCAGTTCGATTGTCTTTCGAAATTATAATAGGTAGAGCCGCTGATGTTAAGTACAATAAATTACCATAACAACAAAACTCCTTACTTATTTATTTTATAACTGCGGTTTTAAATATGCAGGATTAACCCAATAAGTTTTTTTACCTCAAATAAAAACTTAACCTGGCCAATCCAATTTAACAAACAATGTTGTACTTTTTAACTTGCACGTATTTGGCTAACCCTCGCGTACTGGTCACACTAAGCCTGAGTTATAGCCCTGGCCACGAAGGTTTCGCCAACAATATGCTCGGCTTTAATTAATCGCTCGACTTTCGACACGAGCTGACTTTTGATTTGGCCATGCAAAGTTTTTTTTTCTTTTTCCGTGGGAAGTTTGAAAACTGGCAAAGGAATAAATTTTGGTCTGACTGGACTGATGCAACGATTTTCTTTTTCAGACGCTTGATATTGAGAGGGAATTAAGCGTCAAATCTATACTATGTTATTTTTTCGCCGAAACTAAATTAACTCACTACTAATGGTTTTATTTAAAACTGCTATGAGAATCGTTACGTTTTACATCGATTCCACATTATTATCTATCTATCTTAAATGAATTGATGTTCGTTAGTCTGATTAAAATTCGAGAACGGCTGGGCCGATTGAGCTGATTTTGGTTTTAAAATGTTTGTCGTAGTCCAGGGTAGGTCTAAACGGTGAGCAAATACGCGCGCGATATTGTTTTTCTGTGACAGACAAAATTCCACGCGGGCGAAGCCGCGGGCGGAAAGCTAGTTTTAAATATTTTTATTATCATAGAGAAGGGTTTCTCAAAGTGGGGTACGCGAACTCCTAGAGGGGTTCGCCATTTGACGGTAGGTGGTGCCAGACTTAATATTATCCAAAATTAATCCTAAAAGTGACTCCATTTGTTACAAGAAACAGTGCTCGTTTCTTTACATTAATATTAAAAAGACATTTCTTTGGCAATTTACTGAAATAAAAACCTTATTTTTTTCAACGGTCAACTTTATTATTTCTTTTTGGGGAAGGGGTGTTTAATGAGCTAGGTTTTAAGGGCTCGCTGCCACCTGGAAACTTTTACAGGAGTTTATGGAGCCGAAAGTTTGAGAAACACTGTCATAGACCAATGTAACCGATTGAAATCGATGTTAAATCAAATTTTAGTCGTCGAAGCAAATTCGGTTTAGAATCAGGAATCATGGATTGAAACTCCATAAATTGAATTCCAATTTGTAGATTGTTTCACTGCGAAATATGTATTTATTGGAACAACGACATCGAGTGAAAACCGCGTCTCGGCAAATGCAGAATGGAATGCCTTCCAGGATGAACGTAACGCGGTTAGACGTTTTGAAATAGAATGAGGTGACAATTCTCAATTCCAATATTCAATTTAGATTAAATTGAACTATGCATGTCAACAACCGTAAATTACCTAGCCGTGCACTGGGTTGTAAAGGAGTTGACTATTCTGTCAATTTCATTCAATCTGAATGACATCTGATTGGTTGTTCAAAATATTTCTCCGCTCCGCTCCGCCTTTAGTGTCATAACTTAGTTATGTAACAGAAAATCTAATGCAATTTTTAATCTTGAGACTACATTCAGAAACAATTGTATTATCCTTTTCTGTACAATAATATAAATCTAGCTGACTGACTTAATCTGCTTTGTTCCCTTATTTTATTATTTCGATACAATATTAGCCCATTTAAACAACAGCCCTTTGTCTGTGCCGTACAAAACAATTATTTTTATTATACACAAACGTGAATTACAATTCATATCACAATTATTTACAGGAGTGCCGTCAGCGTGGACCACGAATCGCAATTTATAACGTTATACCGTTATAACGTTATAGCGTTCTACACGGCACTTCTCCTTTGTGCGTTATTTAACCTTTTGCCGGATTAAAAGGGTCGTGAATTAAGCCCCCTGATCCGTTTATTTGGACGATTTTTGTCTTTTAGAAGGCACGATGCGACTGGCATTCGCTGTACAATTACGATAGTAAATATTGAACGTTACGTGCAGTCACTTTTAATTTAAATAAATCTTTATGACCCTTTTTTATTAAAAAGATGTCTTTTTTAC